GAGGTATAGCACTGAATAATGCATCAAAATGCATAATATTTTTGGCTGAAATTCAGCAAAATTACTGTCAGCAGAGAAGAGTTGATCGAAGTGTGCTTCTGAAAGTCTTCCAGGTTTTTGCCCTCTGAGAAATTTGTTGGCGACATCAAATAATTGAACTCTTCAACGTCAATATATACAAAGGCATTTTATTATTAATCAATGAAAGGGAATTAGAGTCATCAGAAATTACAACTTTATTTTTTCATAATACATATATTTATTGCCATCATAGATCTGCAATTGTCATAAAATTAGAGTCAGATGGAATTCAGAGACACGTGCAAGTTTTGGAAATGGACACATAGATAACAGTATAGAACTGTACATAAAATAATTACAATTTATTAGATACACTGTTTTAGCAAATCCTTGATGGATGGGAATGAGCACCATATTTTTTCATGAATATATATTTTTCTCTTTTTGTTTCCTACAGCACCAAAGAAATCCAAATAGAAAAAGGAGAGATGAGAATCGGGAATCAAGAATCAGCCCTTTTTCCATCTCAGCCACATTACCTTATATTTTTACGACGATTTTCAAAGCTTTTGTCATGTGATTCTGCCCCCATAAGGGCATCAGAATATCCTAAATGGTACACATAGACTTAGCAAGTTGTCTTCTCTACCATCCTTATTCAAAACTTGCATGTGGCACAAAATGGGTTGGTGACACCAAGGTATATTTTCTGTTAATTTCATATGTTCTTTGTCCTAATCTTAGCCAAGAAAACAGACAGGACCAACTTCAAATCCAAACTTCTGATTCTGATCACCAAAGTCATTGATCATGACATCAACAATAGGTACTTGATCAATTTTTGGTGTATTGATTTCAATCACAGTCTTTTCATAGCCTTTTTTGGACTGTAAAATTAAGCAGAAATAAAAAGTTAAATAATCATTTCATATTATAAACTACATGTTATTTTTTCGTAAGCATCTGAATGTAGGTAAGTGTGAGAGAGGAGACAGTAAAAAAAAACAAATGTATCATTATCTATGTAATAACTTCTTGTTATCACTGATTTCACGTGTAGTTTTAAATTTTAAATGCTGACAATTACATTTAATATTTTACTGTAATTACTCAACTATGAAACTTCAACCTATTACACAGCTAAAAAAGAATCTTGTTGAGTGGATAAATACAATTTAATATGAAAATCGAAGTATGTTTTGGATACCCCTATGTAAATAGATAAATAATATATCCTTACCATTATAGTTATGATTAAAATAAAATTCTCTTCTGAAAAATTAGGATAAATTATAGGAATTATACTGAAGGAGGTCAAAGTCAAAACGTTTCTGGTGCTACATATTAATTTTACAAATGTTTAACAATACACTACAATTGGGAAAGCTTTCCACAGCTCTTGCTTCATTAATTTTCTTTATTTTCTCTTCTTTGTTCTACTCGTATTCCACTCATTTTGTTGAAAGCATGGACATATTTACTTGTGATTGCGACTTCTATTTAGTTACCAATACTCAGCTAAATCAATGGGCTTTTCAGGGCGCTCTATGAATAATTTTCTTATATTGAATTCCCATGTGTACGAAAAACAAAAAAAATAGTTCCAGAGGATAAAGATAACAAAAATGATAGCAGACCCCAACCTGGTGTACCACAGTACAAATTAACAAGCTCCTTATAAATAAAATACAGGGGGTAAAGATCTATCATTTTCGAATCATGTATTAAGGAGGCAAATGACACCAAGTTTTTCATTTTTAGTTTTTAATTCAAGAATAACTAGTTGTAATATAATTCAAATGTCAAAAGTAATAAAATAACAAATGTTCCAAAATTACCTTTTGTTATGGCTTTAAAATTGTCTTTGTTCATGTGTGTGCATGTGTGTGTTTGTGAGCATTAGTGGTTTCTAATATACCATATTTTAATGTCTGTGTTAAGCATTAAATCTTAAGAACAACTGGCATCCATTTCATGACAGGAATCTGGCTAAGGACCAAACTGAGATGTTACATGCTGCCTCTAATCACTGTGAAAAAAGCAAAGATTATACTCACCGCACAGCCATCGTGTAGTGCTTTGATGTAAGGGTTATTGTCATAGGACATCTCCTCATCATTTGATCCCAGGAATCGAAGTGCTTTGTTATAACTTCCTGATGACATGTCATACCAGGCTGCTGACTGATGACAGTTGTAGGTGAAGTTTTGCCGAGCAGAGGCAGTGAGAAGTTTCAGAAATGTCATTTGCACCATATTAATGGAATTGCCTTCAACATCTAAATATGAAAGCTGGGAATAAAAGAATAAAAAGGCACATAAAAGACAAACTCTTTTCCTCCTTTATGCTATAAAGAATAAAATTATTGTCGACGGTGAACCGTGATGCCAGAAGCATGGAGATGAATCACCAGATCCATTTTAACCTAATGAAAAAAAGTGTGCATTGAGGGCCTGAAGACCCAGAAACAGGATTTTATGAAATTGGAATTCTATCCCCACCAGAGTTGCTCTAACCACTGCTTATCTTTGAAAAAAATCACTTTGCCTCTTGGCTTTAGTTTCCTAATCAGTAAACATCTCAAAAAAAAAAAAAAAAAAAAAGCTTCAGTCCCCAAGAAATGTTTCATTATGTTTGTGTATCTTTTAAAAAGCAGAGTGGTAAAATAGCAANTTCAATCACAGTCTTTTCATAGCCTTTTTTGGACTGTAAAATTAAGCAGAAATAAAAAGTTTAAACAATCATTTCATATTATAAACTACATGTTATTTTTTCGTAAGCATCTGAATGTAGGTAAGTGTGAGAGAGGAGACAGTAAAAAAAACAAATGTATCATTATCTATGTAATAACTTCTTGTTATCACTGATTTCACATGTAGTTTTAAATTTTAAATGCTGACAATTACATTTAATATTTTACTGTAATTACTCAACTATGAAACTTCAACCTATTACACAGCTAAAAAAAAATCTTGTTGAGTGGATAAATACAGTTTAATATGAAAATCGAAGTATGTTTTGGATCCCCCTATGTAAATAGATAAATAATATATCCTTACCATTATAGTTATGATTAAAATAAAATTNCCCCTATGTAAATAGATAAATAATATATCCTTACCATTATAGTTATGATTAAAATAAAATTCTCTTCTGAAAAATTAGGATAAATTATAGGAATTATACTGAAGGAGGTCAAAGTCAAAACGTTTCTGGTGCTACATATTAATTTTACAAATGTTTAACAATACACTACAATTGGGAAAGCTTTCCACAGCTCTTGCTTCATTAATTTTCTTTATTTTCTCTTCTTTGTTCTACTCGTATTCCACTCATTTTGTTGAAAGCATGGACATATTTACTTGTGATTGCGACTTCTATTTAGTTACCAATACTCAGCTAAATCAATGGGCTTTTCAGGGCGCTCTATGAATAATTTTCTTATATTGAATTCCCATGTGTACGAAAAACAAAAAAAATAGTTCCAGAGGATAAAGATAACAAAAATGATAGCAGACCCCAACCTGGTGTACCACAGTACAAATTAACAAGCAGGGCGCTCTATGAATAATTTTCTTATATTGAATTCCCATGTGTACGAAAAACAAAAAAAAATAGTTCCAGAGGATAAAGATAACAAAAATGATAGCAGACCCCAACCTGGTGTACCACAGTACAAATTAACAAGCTCCTTATAAATAAAATACAGGGGGTAAAGATCTATCATTTTCGAATCATGTATTAAGGAGGCAAATGACACCAAGTTTTTCATTTTTAGTTTTTAATTCAAGAATAACTAGTTGTAATATAATTCAAATGTCAAAAGTAATAAAATAACAAATGTTCCAAAATTACCTTTTGTTATGGCTTTAAAATTGTCTTTGTTCATGTGTGTGCATGTGTGTGTTTGTGAGCATTAGTGGTTTCTAATATACCATATTTTAATGTCTGTGTTAAGCATTAAATCTTAAGAACAACTGGCATCCATTTCATGACAGGAATCTGGCTAAGGACCAAACTGAGATGTTACATGCTGCCTCTAATCACTGTGAAAAAAGCAAAGATTATACTCACCGCACAGCCATCGTGTAGTGCTTTGATGTAAGGGTTATTGTCATAGGACATCTCCTCATCATTTGATCCCAGGAATCGAAGTGCTTTGTTATAACTTCCTGATGACATGTCATACCAGGCTGCTGACTGATGACAGTTGTAGGTGAAGTTTTGCCGAGCAGAGGCAGTGAGAAGTTTCAGAAATGTCATTTGCACCATATTAATGGAATTGCCTTCAACATCTAAATATGAAAGCTGGGAATAAAAGAATAAAAAGGCACATAAAAGACAAACTCTTTTCCTCCTTTATGCTATAAAGAATAAAATTATTGTCGACGGTGAACCGTGATGCCAGAAGCATGGAGATGAATCACCAGATCCATTTTAACCTAATGAAAAAAAGTGTGCATTGAGGGCCTGAAGACCCAGAAACAGGATTTTATGAAATTGGAATTCTATCCCCACCAGAGTTGCTCTAACCACTGCTTATCTTTGAAAAAAATCACTTTGCCTCTTGGCTTTAGTTTCCTAATCAGTAAACATCTCAAAAAAAAAAAAAAAAAAAAGCTTCAGTCCCCAAGAAATGTTTCATTATGTTTGTGTATCTTTTAAAAAGCAGAGTGGTAAAATAGCAAAACAATGAAAACAGAGGAATCCCAGTGTAATGCAAAGGCTAACCCCTTTTATCTTGTGTGTTTTGTCTACTCCTTTCAAAAAGTTCATAATGTATCTGCTTTATGCAAATCTTTAAACGCGTCCCTGAACTTTCCATTTTGAGGCCATTGTGTTCAAAGGTGTTTTTACTCTAATTTTTGGCACAGGCATGCCTGTTTGTCTGGCCTTACATAATTTCATCATTATATCACCGGCACAAAGTGTAATGCCAGAGACAGCACAAGTGAATATTTGTTGAGTCAGTACTTTTTTTGTACTTATAGCAGAAAAATAGTTTTAGTTGCAAATTATTAAAAACTGTCTTATATCATCTTTATAAATTTTTATTGGGTGTAATTTAAATATCCAGGCTCAGATGAAACACATAAACCTAAATCTAAAAAAAAAAAGAAAAAAGAAAATTAAGAAATTCACCCAAATAATAGATTAAGTCAATGTAAAGGCAGTTATCTGTGACTTTCATCTTTATAATTGACTTTACTATTCCTTATTGATTAGCAGCTCAGATAATGTGGATCAATGTAAGGCTGGGGAAAAATATTGTTTGAGAAATGCAATTTAAGACAAACAAAACAAAACAAAACAGAACAACAAAAACAGGGCCACACAGTGCTAAGTGTGTATGATTTTTTTTTTTTTACCTTATACACATATAAAAATGTAATGTGGATATTTAACACGTTAACTTGACTGAAAAAAGAATTGTAAGTTAAATGTGGAACTTCACTATGGGTTGTTAATTAGTAAGGTAGGTTTGTATTGAAATGATAAGTATATAAATAGTCATCAATAGAAAATAATAGCTTTTCTGAAGAAACATTAAATGATTGAATAATTATCTGAGTAAGTGGGAAACACTTTAATTTGAATAAATCTTAATTAAAACAGTTTTAACACATGTATTTTTAAACAGCTTTTAAATATGAATTTAGTTTTGGCATCTAATAATAAAATATCTTTAGAAAATCATTAAAGCAAACTAATAATTCTATAAAAATATATAAGTAAATTTGTGTTGTGATACAAGTAAAGGATCAGTCAGTTCACTATATTTCCAAATGTAACAATCGGAAAAAATAACTGCGCATTCCAAAAGTTCTTATTAAAATGAAGAACAAAGAACAAATCATGTGTCAAACAGACAAAAAATGAAATAGTAGGCATCAGAAATACTAAATAGATATTGTATTCTCAATGCCTGATATTTCTATATTTCTACTATAATCCTTTATATGATGTCTGTCTCAGATACTTAATAAACTGTATACTTTATTTGATCATATTTTTTCAGCAAATATAGTATGTTTCTATTTACACTGATACAAAAATTTTAGACTGCTTTAAGATACCACAGCAGTCTAAGAAATAGTAGATGGAGCAGACTAGAGAACTCATGAAATTCTGCTTAGTATAATTTAGACTTTCACAGTCAGGGTCTAGAGATTTACAACTTGAGCTTCATTTGTGGAGTTCTACATAAACCATTTCATGTGGAGGTAATAACATACCAGTTTTCCTCTCTTAAATTCACTAAACCAACTTCCTGGTTTCTCCTTTGGCCACGATGAAATTCTGACCTATTGCATAGGAACAGAAAAATTAGAAAGTATGTGAAAATTATGAACAGTATTGCTTATGTACATATCAGTAATTTTCAGTAAGACCAAGAAGCTAAATAGCTTTTAAAATAGTATCTACTCAGGATTATACAAAATGAGATAAAGAGCAAAATTTGAGATCAATTTATAGAAGGATTAAGTATGTTCATAGAATCTATCTCAAAGTCGAAATTGAATCATTTCCTTCCTGTTCTCTTTACTGGCTTAAAAAGGAAAGTGGGAAAACAGCCTGGTGAAGGCATACTAAAAGCTGTAGGGGTCATCGGTAGAACACTTAGGGATCACATACAAAGGAAACCCTCAAAATGCCAGTCAGCATCAGCCAGCAAGGCAGCTACCAATCGCAGTCTATAGCCAAGGCAGGCACTCTGAAAGTGTTTAGCCAGTAACTAAGAGGGGGTGTGGTGGGGCGTGAGGGGGTTGCTACAGAAAAGTCATCGGCAGGAAGCAAGCCTAATATTCCTTGCTGGGAAGAATATTTAGGATCTTTTATAGATCTATATTTATTGGTTTGCTCTGTAAAGTTCAGCAAAATATAAGGGTACCTAAGTCCTCACCATAGGGCATTTCAGTCATCAGTGTAAGGAGAGGCATTTCCCACTTTCCCACAGCTCTCTGGAGGCTATGAGAGCTTTATTATGCTTCGCCACATGCCAAGTGGGGTTGGGAGAGGGGAGTTGCTTTGTCTCCCGCCTTTACTACCTATTCTTTACTCACAAACTTTTCTCCCAAAACAGTAGCCACACATAAAGCTATTTGCTTTGCCTTAAGGGGTTTCTGTGCCTCTAATGTCTACACCATTTACTAAGAAGAATGAGATTCATTACATGACTACAGAAAAAACCAAAATGTCCCCCTTGTAAAATGTTTGGGGAGTGTAATTGTGCTGGTGAAAAATTTTTCTTTGTATTCATGATTTGCATTTAGCTTTTAAGATAAACTCAAGTAAGCTCAAAATGTTAGGTGAAAATCAAGAAATCTGTTTACACAGACTAAATATTTAAGAATACGTAAGTGCAGAGAATACTCATTATACAAAAATTAATTCTTTATAAAATTGTATATTTCAAGCATAATATGCAGCTGTGAGTTCTACCACGTTGTAATTGGGCAGAAGAATATTGCATGCACTAAAATTTGAGATTCAGCTGTGCTGTGTCATGGGAAACCATAGAATTTTAGAGAGCAAGCAGGTGCATAAAGAAACATCTGGGTAAAAAATAAAGAAGAGAAGTATTTGTTCACTCTATTCATCACTTTGGTGCCTTATTCATGTTTATGGAAATGAAAAGCTCTAATTACTCTGTAAGAAAAGCAGATTAATGAAAATATGACAGTATAATTTTTCTGTTTAGTTCAATGTTGCAAAAACATGGCAGGCACCGTCAACATGCACCGCAAAAAGAGATTGGTACTTACTCCCTCAGATTTTTTGTCTGGATAAATGCAAGTCTCACCACCAGACGTGAAATTACAGTAAACTTTGAAGGAATCTCCTGAACAACCTTGGTTAGGATCAATCCAATATTCACCTAGAAGGTAGCAAAAGAAGACATCATATACAAATTCATTAATATTAAAACCAAATGCATTAGATGCAACATTTTATTAGAAAGAGGAATAAGGAAAAATGAAAATTCATAAATTTTTCCCCTTTTGTTCTTTTGGGCATACTGGGGTATATGTTTGAATAGCTATGATAATCAAAATCTGCTCTGATCAGGTCAGATAAAATACAGTGCTATGGGAGAGCTGGGATAAGTCAGTAGTCGTGTCACCTGTCCTGGAAAACATTATCATAAGACCACAGTAGTCGTGTCACCTGTCCTGGAAAACATTATCATAAGACCATTTTTACTCACAAGCAGACTTAGCGGCAGCAGAAAGCCATAAAATAAACTAAAATGCTTCTCTAATCCAGTAACAACCCCAAATCTATGCATTATGTACAATGAACAGAAAACCTGATAAGGCAATTTAGTGACATTGTCTATTTTTACTCACAAGCAGACTTAGCGGCAGCAGAAAGCCATAAAATAAACTAAAATGCTTCTTCTAATATAGTAACAACCCCAAATCTATGCATTATGTACAATGAACAGAAAACCTGATAAGGCAATTTAGTGACATTGTCCTTCTGTCCTTTGACCCTTCCCTCTTCTTGTGATTGTAAATGCTAAGCTCTGCTGGCCCTTTTCAGAACATATTTCTCAGAGCGACCTGACTCTGCATCTCCCCGGTTGCAACAGTCATGCCGGCACAATATATCTTTGCTGTATTTGGCCTCAGTTTCTTCTTAAGGCAACAGTTGTCTTTGTCTGGCTCCTTTGTCTTGTCTCCCTCAAGGCTTTACAAATGCCTCATACACTCTACCTGGAATATTCTTTTTTATTCTGAGCATGCCTATCACTTTTTGGTTTCAGCTTAAATGTCATTTTCTCAAGGATTAACATTCTATTTATCCATGTGTAATAAATTGCATGCACATTTGAATAGATATACTTGATCACAAATCTCATAAGTAATATTTACTACTTAAGTAATCTGAGTATAATCAATATACTTTTTCCTGGTTTATTCATCTGTAACAATGGAGGTCATAGTCTCTACTTAGTCTTAGGAATCATACTTTTTAATAGCAAAAACCTTGTAGTAAACGTACTCCATCTTTGAATGAGGTTCTAAGAAGAACTACTTTCCATATTTAAATATAGTTTGTCATTATTGACATTATTAAACTGTTGCAGAATAAATTTTGTCATGTGAATAACCATGACCATTAATTTGGTATTATGTGAATAAAGATGGTAAATAGTGATAGTAACATAAGGATATTCTTTAAATAATTAACAATATGTTTTTTGATAACAAGAGTTACTGGCAGAGAAAACTGATATATGTGTGATGATTACTTTGCTTCCTCCCTACAATTTTTCATGTTGCCATTTCATTTCAAATATTAATCTGAATTATATGAATCCACTACTTATAAACTTTTCATATTTTAAAGGCTCAAATTGCTTAGCTTAGTAACATAATTCTCAAAAATACAATGCCAACCTGCTTTATCTTCTAGTACCTGTATATAAACAGGGGAATTGCTGTAACAGTCAATAGATTCTACTCTTTGTCAGGCAACTTGAATATCTTATTTAACAAAAACACTTACACTTTTTCTAATTACACCATTAATACATTCACATCTGAAACAAATAGTAATTCTCAGGGGAAAAAAAGAACACAAGAAAATAAAAATCATCCAAGATTTTACCAACCAGAGATGATAACTCTTAATCTTGATATTTCCTGTATGGTTTTTAGGAATACATAATTTTGAATTATATGAGAAGTGTCATTTTTATCTTGTTTAGTCAGTTATAATGTCATTAAATGTCCCTTGAAATAATATATTAATAGTTTTATTATTAAGATACCTTCCGACAATAAAGTGATTTAGTATGCTATGGATGCAATGTTCAATTTATCTCTAATTTATTCATTTCTCACTTGGACTGCCCATCCCTAAATCAGACCCCCATCATCTAGATTAGTCCAACAGTTTTTTTTTCTTTTTTCTTTTTCTGGCAGCTGGCCATTACAGGGATCGAACCCTTGACCTTGGTGTTATCACCAGATTCTTAACCAGCTTCCTTTGATCTCACTTTGTTTCCTTTCAAAGCACTTCAACTCATTCCTCACTTTTCTCACTACTGTTCAGCCACAGTAACCTTCTTTCAGTTCCTGAAAACATGAAGACCTTGTCTTCAAAGCTTTGAAAATGTCTCGTACCCTCTGCCAGGGGCATCTTCTTGATTCTCAGCATGGCTGACTGTCTCTTTAAGGTTTCAGCTTAAATGTCATCTCTTCAAATACTAACATTCTACTTACCCAAAGTGGAAGAATCCCTTAATTATCTAAATATTCATGGGTTATTTTTTTTCTTTCATAGTATCTGTCAGAATGCACTATTATTCATATTTTGTCTCCACCATTAGCTGATAAATAGTTCAAGGGTATTATTCTCTCTATTCTTCTATGAATCTCTGTGTGAAGAACAGTGCCTAGCCGTGATAAATACATAAATACATATACTCAAGTTCAATTAATTAGTACCTTAAATAATTAAAGAAGCTAGACATTATATAGAAACCACAGGGAACTACAGTCCACAGTGGGCTTACCATTCCCAAAATGTACAATATTTTTTTATTGATGGCTCAGGTTCTAGTTGATAACCAAAAACCTGCTCCTAGACATTATATAGAAACCACAGGGAACTACAGTCCACAGTGGGCTTACCATTCCCAAAATGTCAATATTTTTTTATTGATGGCTCAGGTTCTAGTTGATAACCAAAAACCTGCTCCGACTAGGTCAGCTAAATTATAGTGTCTTGGGAGATCTGGAATAAGTCAGTAGTCATGTCCACCTGTCCTGGAAAATGTTAGCATAAGACCATTTTTATTTATAAGCAGACTTAGTGGCACCAGAAAGCCATAAAACAACCTAGAATGCTTCTTGTCACCCTTATGTAATCAGTAACAATCCCAAATGTATAAGTTCTGTACAACCAACAGAAAACCTGATAAGGTAATTAGGTGGAGCTGTCCTCTCTCTCTCCTTTGACCCTTGCCCCTCATTGTGCTTATAAAATGCTAAGCTCTGCTGTCTCTCTTTGAAACACATTTCTCAGGGTGACCTGACTGTCTCCCTGGTTGCAGTCATCATTTTGGCTCAATAAACCCTTGCTACTTGTCCTTTGACCCTTGCCCCTCATTGTGCTTATAAAATGCTAAGCTCTGCTGTCTCTCTTTGAAATACATTTCTCAGGGTGACCTGACTGTCTCCCTGGTTGCAGTCATCATTTTGGCTCAATAAACCCTTGCTACTTGCATTTTGCTTCAGTTTCTTTTTAGGTCGACATAATTAATATGTTGTTTTATAACTGAGTATA